CCATGGTGAGGGCTGTGTGGGGCAGCTCCTTATCCGGGCCCTGAAGGGCCCATGGTGAGGGCTGTGTGGGGCAGCGACTGGATCCAGTCCTGGAGCCAGGCCGCAATCTGGACCCCACTCTGCTAGGTCTCTATAGGACACTAGGCAAGTCACTCAGCCTTCTGGTTCATTCTCCTGTAAAATAACATCCAGGCCTGGTTTCACTCATAGCAGGAGTATAACGGACCAGGAGAGAAAATAATAACGAACTGCTATATACCAGAGATATTTTATGGGGTAGAGTGGGGGATGGGATCAAAAACATGGGGGGAGGGAAATGCACTGGACTATGGTGATGGCACACGGGTGATTTGCTGATGGGAAGCCCACAGGGAATACAACTGAGATGGAAAAAGGCACAAAATGATGTAAAAATAAACTATTTAAAAAAAAAACAAACATCCAGGCCACATCTAGAAAGGCTGCCTTATAAATAAAGATCCTGGCACAGTGCTCGCCTGCAGAATGATCTGGCCGTGATCTTACAGCTGGGCAGCCTGAGATGTGGTTTCTGGAGCTGCTTCCTCACTATGTGGCTTAGGCCCTCCAGTGCCCTGTTTTTGTTTTTTCCTTTAAGGTTTATTTATTTATCCAGAACTGGGGTACAGGCTGGAGGTGCACGGATAGTGAGAGGATTCACCAGAGGCAAAGCAGGGAGCAGAACAGGCAGATCGATGAAGCACACTGCTGAGTGGAGCAGCGGGTGGGACAGGAGAGGTCTGCCGCGCCCCGTGGGTCACCCCCTGGCCAGGGACCAGAGTGGCTGTGGCCAGGTTCATGGTGCTGCGCCTCAACCCGCTGCACCACCAGGGAGGGCCTGAGTGCTCTGTTCTTGTCCTTGTAGTTCAAGGTTTCTTCTGGCTCCGGGGTTCGGGGTTCTGTGAATCATAGGTCATAGGGCAGAGAGGATGGGGGCTAGAGGGAAGTGTTCAGAGAGAGGGCGGAGGGCCCCTGCCAGCAGGGAGCTTATTCTGCTTCAGAAACTTATAAAACAAAACTATTGGGACATGATAAGTCATCGTGGGCCAGGGGCTGGGAGACTTGGGGCTTTAAAACCCTGGGGTCTATTAAACCAGACCACCAGGGATAGACCTGGCTTTGAATTGTCTAAAACGTCCCTGGTGATTGCAAAGTGCAGGCAGGTTTGGGGAGAGGGTGTAAAACAAGGTCCTCTTGGGCCTTCCTCCTCCAGTTTCTCTCCATAACTTCTAACACCCTAGTTGCAGGGTCTGGTGTCCATGCTGGTTTGTGGGCCCAGGAGATTTCCTGGGCCATTGGACTGCCACTGCCCTAAGTAGGGGAGTCCTGAGCAAACTGGGCTGAGTTGTCCCCGTAGCTGGCAGAAGCTTTCTAAGATGCTGATCTGATCATGTCGCCCCTTCTTCAAGGCCTCCTCCAAACTCTCGGTCCCCAGGCTCTGCTTGGCTCTCAGCCAACCCTGTCTTATCCCCCGCAGACACCATGGCCATGGCAGGCTTGGCCTTCACCTGTCTGCAGCGTTCCAATCTCAACCCAGATCAGAGGAACCGGATGGCCCTGGCCATCAGGACAGCGAGAGAAAAGATCCTGCAGGCCCAGACCGGAGAGGGCCACTTTGGGAATGTGTACAGCACCCCTCTGGCACTGCAGGTGGGAGTGGACCCTGGGGCTGTGGCTTACCCTGGTGGCTGGTTGGGGGTGACGGGTCAAGGGCTGGAAGACCTGGCGCCTCCCTGCTCTGACCCACCTGCTGTCCTCTCCCCTCTCCGTCACAGTTTCTGATGACGTCCCCGCTGCCCGGCGTCCAGTTGAGTACAGCATGCCAGAAGACGAGGGCTGGTCTGTTGGCCAGCCTGCAGGATGGGACATTCAAGAATGTTCTCCTGATCTCCCAGCTGCTGCCTGTCCTGAACCGCAAGAGCTATGTGGATCTCATCTCCCCAGACTGCCTGGCACCAAGAGGTAGCCAGGCTTTTCACGGAAGCACAGACCTTTCCGATCTGCAGCTTGTGTATTGATGCCTGCATGGCTCAGGGAGGGGACTTGGCTTGGTCCTCTTTTGCTGGTCAACGAGGGTTTGCGGGTTCGTAGGAAACACTAGCAGCACTGGGAGCCAAGGTCGCAATTTCTAGAAGTTTGTGGTGTGGGGAGGGAGATACGAAGTGGAGAGCTGTGAGTGGACCATGAAACTCTGGCCCCTTGGGTAGAAATGGCCAGTGGAGGGAAGTCTGAGCGAATGGGAGAATGACGGGGGATGCATTTGGTTAGCGCAGCTTCGTGATGACAGCAGCAGAACCAGGGCTTTGTCTGGGAGAGGGCTTTGGCTGGAGCAGGTGAGGAGCTCTGCCCAGAGAGGCAAGGAGGGGCAGAGCAGAGAGGAAGCAGTGAGAGCAGAGGCAAGGAGAATGAAAGACTGGAATTTGGGTGACGGGCTTGTGAAAGAGTGTGGTTGAGAGAATGAGCGGGAGTGGAAAACAGGAGAGTGAAAAGGAGGCGAGACCCCCAGGGGAAACAGGAGTGACAATGTATATTCTAGAAAGAGCCTGTTGGGTGCCGCATGGCAGACAGGTGGGTGAGGTACTGGAGGCAGAAAAGTCAACTGGGGGGCAGCGGGGGCGTGGCGCTGAGGGGCGGGGCTCAGAAGGCAGCGGGGTGGTGGTATTGACTGAGATGGGATCTGGGAGGAGGAGGTGGCTGAGGGGGGTGGTGAGA